ACGTAGTACGTAGTACGTAACTAATAATAATAACTAATAATATAATAATATATATATATATATATATATATATATATGTATGATCAATTTATATTTTACGAATTATATTTTTCATATTTTTATTAGGTGCGTCTCACTAAGATGTACACGCGCTCCGAATTTCAGATCATTTCGATTAGTTAAAAAAAATGAAAAATGAAATAGTTGCGGACAACTATGACCGGCAATGGAGTTTGGATGGTGATGAAGGTAAACGAAATCACTGTTCATTTTCGCTCATAGGCGTTTTGTAGTATCTTCCAATTTATAGAATGTAGTCTAGATTTAATCCAGACCATTTGAGATCAAGAACAAATGATGGAGATAGTCTGCTCGGCATTGTGACATCACGATAAAGGGTTACTAAAAAAACATAATAGTCAAGATTTATAATCATCATCATTATAATCATTCCATATTCATCACAATGATTTTGGATCGGCTACATGAATCATGTTCCTCCATGCTATAGATTCAAGATTCATGATATGTCCAAGCTTCATCGTAATAATTATGGGTGGGCTACATGAAACTTATTCCTCCACATCTTAGATTCAAGATTTCATGATAAGATGTACCAAAGTATTGCGTTGATTAGCTACCTACCTAAGGTAGCCCATCTCCTTTATTTGTGCTTGGGACATGTTAAGGAAAGTTTAATATCGTCATCCTTATTAAACCATATAATAGACGAGCTTGCATGTAGTAATTCGTTTTTCTTTTTTGATAAAAATATTTGATGTTTTAAGTGTTTTGCACGGGAGAATAACAAAATCATCTTAATGGAAAGTATATTTTTTAGATAAGTTAATAAGGGAAAGAATAGCATACACATAAGAGTATGCTACACATCCGATCGGCTCTCGAGAGAGGCTGGTGGAGATGAAAGATATGTCTTATCGTTTTCTATCCATGATTCATCTCCACCATTGTTCTTCAAAATTAACAACGGATGCCCGGCATCCTGTTGTTTTTTGGAAAATTAGTCAATATATACGTATGAGATTAAGTACTTAATATTGTACTCACATACTTTGAATTAATTTCAGAATCGCCATCAAAATACATATGATTCTGGCTTTAACAATAGTAAAAGGGTAAAAAGTTAAATAGTTGAAACATGAGGTATATCATGATAAATTTCCCTTGTTTTGAACATATTTGATAAGTATGTTGTGCTAGCATTTGATGGGCTTTAATGTTTAGTAACCACTAACATATTGTTATCGGAAAGTATACAAAGAGATTATTTATTTTTGGTATAAAGAGGTCACAAACTCTCGTATGTCGAATTTCAAATTAGGTGATTATAAGGCTGTTATTGAATAACTAAACTTAAATATCAAAAAAGAAAATTTTTCGAACTTCGTAACACATCTTAAACCATCTAATGACTAAAAATAAAAGAGATGTCCTTGTAATAAAGATAAAATGGTTCATAATATTGAATCCCTATAGGTACATAATTAAAAAGTATGATATGAAAAAAAAATGCCACCCTAGGATCATACCCCCTCATAATACATTTATTAGTGTTTAGAAAAATGGCACGCCAGCATAGAACTAGTGTGGTACTTATTTAGGTCTAAAGACCATTGATCCCAAGTTCCAACCAATTCGAATAATTAAACCTTTTTTTATCATTATTTTTATTTCTATATAAATTTTTTTTTAGAAAATCGCTTGAGGGCGTGAAATGAGCTTGGGCTTGAATGGTCAGCAGCTGATGCTTAACATTGCTACATCCCAAGTTCGATTCCTACCGCCCACTAAAATACTAAAAAGAAAGAAAAACGAAAGAAAAAAAAAAAGTTCACTTACAGGAATTCTCATTTTGTCCCGTCATTTCCTAATAATACACTATTTTTCTATTTCTTCTCCAGTGTTATTCCTCTCTAGAAAAAAGTTCAGCGATCGTCTTGCACAATACAAATTCAACTCTAGTGAACAAGAAACCCTAAAAGACCAGCGGATCAATTTCAAAATGGATTGATCAGTGGGAAACCACAAAAAATCATTTACAGCAAGAGCGAGAGCTCGATCAGCGATCAAACCCTAGAAGAACAATTTCAAAAGCTTATGCTCTATTACAGTTTCGTCAAGACTCAACACTGAACCCTATATTCCTTCAACAACAAAAGAAGAAGGGCTCTCTGACCTTTTCTTTTTGGCCTGAGAATCCAAATCGGAGATTATTCGATCACCTCGAAGAACAGATTGGACTGCAGCTTCACAAATGTGCCAGTTTCCACTCCATAAGAGCCCAACCGCTCCATTAACAGGGTCCACTGTTCGACCGCAAGCTTCGTATAAAAGTGACCGGAAAAGATCTGTAAAGTCACTGAAAGAATATTAAAATTGCGAATAAGAAATCACTCGAATTGCTCGTCAGGGCATTTTCTAACAAGTTTTTAGCTGGAAAACGGCGATATAGAAGAAGAGTTTGAGCATTTTTAAACGATCAAATCAAAGTACAGGAAAACTTGTCAAGATCGACGTTTACTGGCTTCTAAAGCACTTTCTGTAAGTTTCACAAGCCAGGTACATTTTCCAGTAAGTTTTTGGCCAAATTTTGTGTTAATAACAATATGTCAACAATTTTCCGGCAAGATTTTGGCCAGAAAATGTTAATCAATAACATATTTCGAAAAGTCTCCAGCGATCTTACCAGGTCTTTGGTTTTCTACAACGGCTGAGATGAAGGACATAAGACCTGCTCGTCCAAAGAACTTGGCCACAAAGACAGTGGCGTGGCCTTGAGCCTCTGTTCCTTCTATCCATTGAAGGCAAGAACGAAGCATGCAGCTTTCGCTGCAACCCTTTCTTAGAACACGGCAGCCATTGCAGCTCATCTGATCTTGCTCAAGCTTTCTTTAATGGCGTTTCTCTCTCATCAAACAAGAAAACACAGGCAGGTCCCTCCCTCCCTCCCTCCCTCTAAAGATGGTTCTCTTACATCACACAAGAAAAACCAGTATCCTTAAATTTCTCTCTAAAAAGCTTCTCTCTTTCTCTCTCTAAAGGGCTTCTCTCTTTCTCTCACTAAAAACTCTCTCACTTGGTTTGTGGTTTGTTTTTTTGGGGGGCAGGGCTGATTGGGACTCTTATTTTTCTAGCGTGTGTAATGGGCTGCTCAAACCCTAGACGGTCAGTCTGGGAAACAATTATTGCCTGAATAAAGAAAACTGAAAATAATTAATTCGAGAGTTTTTTTTTTTTTTGGCGTAAGTAATTCGAGGGGCTGAAGAGATATTAAAATATAATAATATTATATGATTAAATAGTCAGACGTTAAAAGAGAAGCAGCATATAAAAAAAAAATTTCTATATTTTATTTTTCTTTTCTATAATGTTGTTTTATGAGCGCGTGTGCTATACTCCCGCGGGAACAAAATGTCCATTTTCTCCTTGGGGTATAATAAAATATATTTGAAAAAGTTTATTGGATCTGAAATTTCTGGTTTCTGGTTCCATTTAAATATGGAAAAATTCTGAAATTCATTAGACTAGCTTAACAATCTAATTAGGGTTGAGGTTGAGGCGCTAAACAATCTAATTAAGGTGTACCTCAAAAATTCATTAGAATAACTTATTTCGATACTGAAAAGCCCACAATTCGATCATCTTGACCTCAAGATGTATGTACATGAGAAAAAATAGATTTAAAGTCTTCAAAGTAATGCATCTTGTAGTGTATTATCTAGATCGTCAATTTTCAAGATTTTCAATTATTCATAGGTTAACTCTATTTACTTTTCTTTTTAACTTTAAATGTTATAATTAGAGATAAAAATAAATTTTTAGATGATCATTAGGATTTATGATACTTAAACAAAAATATTTTGGCACTATTTGAAGGTACGCCCTACTTTGATTGTTTACGGCTTCGGCCTTATGCAAACCACATCATTTAAATATCATCAGATGAGTATTTTAAAAAATAAGAAATTGAATTTTGAGCTCCTTCAAACTTAAATCTTGCTGTTCAAAAATTGGATGGGGCACTTTCAATTTTGTGACATTTATATTTTTTCAGGCTCATGGAGAGTTTTTTGTTCTTTTTAGATTTGGTCTCTAAATAGTGGTGTATACATCCCCAAAATTAGGAGTCCTAAAATTACCTCTAGCTTGATTTTTGCCCGATGAAGTATATGGAAAGCTTGCTCATGTGGGAGCACAAAATCATTTAGCTTATTTTATAAAGATTTTATGTGGGTGGATTAGAGGGGCATTATCATTTCACGATTATCCTAAGCATTGAACTTAACTCGTTATTTTAGGCTTATCTACTCAATTATACAATCGTACAAAAGTTACCTAACTTGTTTGTTTACTTTTGCCTTAAAGAAATGTGTTTTTCAAGGGTAGGGTTTACAATAATTAATGTTTCCCCCTCTTCTCCCTTTAGACGGCTCCCCAAGTTCTCGCACTCTCTAAGTCTAATACAAGAAAGCACACCACTGCCTGGTTGTTTCCTCTCTAATCCAATAAGTAATGTCCCAAAGTGTGGATTCCTTCTTCCTCCTCCTCTTCTTCTTCTTCTTCTTCTTCTTCTTTCTTTCTTCTTCTTTCTTTCTTTCTTTTCTTTTATTTTATTTTATTTTATTTTTATTAAGATTTTCTATATTTTTTGTAAGAAACTTGGATAAAAAAATAAAGTTTTGATTTGGTCTTAAGAACTTGTTAACTTTTTTTTGGGATCACGGTTAGAATCTCCAACTTCTGACTCGGTTCTGCAATATTTTTTTTCTTGTAAAAAAATGACGTTCTGATCATCATCATCAATATAGCATTTTTCGAATTAATTGGGGTCGGTTACATGAATTATGATCTTCTGTTATGCTTTATTAAGGGTCATACCCTCATTGAGACCATAAGTCCACTTTATCTTTACTCACCAACTTGAATAAAAAAATAAAGTTTCGATTTGTCTTGATAACTAGTACTTTTTTTTGTATCATTGTTTGAATCTCCAACTTTTGACTTGGTTCTACAAACAAATTTCTTGTAAGAAAACTAATGTCCTGATCACCATCATCATTATAGATTTTTTTTAATTAATTGGGTTCGGTTCCACTATTTTACTCTATTAAAGGTCATACCCTCAGTGAAGCCATAAGTCCCTATATCTGTTCTCACTACTTCCAATATTAAATACTTTTACATTTATCGAGTCAGATCTCCAACTTTTGAACCTGATTTTACACTAATGTTTATGTAAAACGAACATATGTGAACATACAGTTTTGAATGATATTGAAACTTGTATTTCTCGTTTCTTAATGACCTGATCTCTAGCTTCCAACCCATATTTTAACAAAAAAAAAAAAAAAAAAAAAGAAAAGAAAAAAATAGCCATGAAAAAACATAAAAATAAAAGAAAGATTCATGTCAAAACTTAAAGTTTCAACCCGAAAACTTGGCCGAAAAAGAAAAATCATAGGCAGGAGATTCAATTCCCCATCTGGAGGACTGTATGGGAAAAGATGAAAAAACTTACATAGAGAGAGAGAGAGACAAGTCTAAAATTTAAAAGCCAAAAGATTTTCTTGTAGGATTATACTGTCCATTTATTCCTCAACCTAGGATTATGTTTAGTGTGAGTTTGTATAAGGTGTCAATCTTACACTATTGATATAAGGTGCACCTCATAACTATGTTGAAAATGCAGTTTCGGTGCCACCAAGCCTTGTGATGATGATAAGAAAATCTACTATTGCCCACAATTATAAAATTTAAAATTCCAGAAATGGTGATGATCAAACATATCCATACACACTTGAAAAATCTTTAAAATGGACGTTCCAGATAGTGTGTTAGAAGATAAACAGTTTTTAGGACTAAAAGTCCCAAATTGTTCATGTCTATGAATCTCGCAGTCGAGATGATTGATTTTAAGGTTTTCCAGCATAGGAACAAGCTTTTCTAGTGGGTTCTTTAGGTGCACCTTACTCATACGGTATAAGGTTGACACCTTATATAAGCTTTTTCTTTAAGTTTAGAACCCCAAAGTTTAGAGATGCGACCTCTTCAAACCATAGTTAAATCTCAATAAAAAAAAATTCCCTAATTGCATGCTCCATGCACTTGAAAATAACAATGTCTCAAGATTGAACAAAGTTGATGAGATCTAAATATTAGAAGACTCAAAATTCAAGCTTTTTACTTTTTAAGTGGTTTCCAAAAATTTCATATTGAAAATGTCCTCCCATGTCGGTCTTCTAATCTAGGGAGCAGATGTACTCTATGCTCCAGCATCTTCTAATTGAGGGAGCAGATGTACTCTATGCTCCCGTTAAAGCATAATATATGCGCTCAAATTCAAATTCAAAAGACATTTTTATCCTCATTGTTAGAACCTCATCCCAACAATTTGGGATCGGCTGTAGGAGCCTTGTTCTGTCATTCCGCTCTATCAAGGGCCATACCACTCTATCAAGGGTCATATCTCAGATGAATTGGATTAAGATTCTTGATAGGAATATGGCAAAATCTTTCTACTTGCTAACCGAACAAAACCTTCCTTTTTTATCATATAGGCTTTGGACCAATAACATAGTTTCAGAAGACACTTATATATGCCAAAAAGAAAAAGAAGAGATTGTATACAATGAGACCATTTACCTTAATTACAAGGAGATCACGTTAGACGGCTTGGGTATATTATAATATTCAAGAAATTTTGTTTTGAACTTTGAGTCTAGTTAATGACACACTCACAACAACCTTATTTGAAATCTGCCGCGCAAGAGTGATCTGATGATCTCCTTGTATTAAAAGTAAGTAATCTCTTCATGTACTTTTCCAAAAAATATTTACAAAAAAGGCGCGGTTTGTATAGAGTAAACAATAAAATTAGAGCCTACCTTCAAATAGTGTCGAGAAATGTGCTTTCAATACATTAAATCTTTGTGATAGCCTTAAATACATTTCCATATTTATTTATAAAGTTTAAAGCTTCAAAAATAGTGTAGATTGATCGATCTATAAAAACTTGAAAATCTTGAAAATTGACAGTCCAAAAATGCGTTACAACATACACTATTTCCAAAGCTTGAAATCCAATTTTTTTCTCATAGTCCATGCATCTTGATGTCGAGATGATCAATTTGACTATATTTAAGCATCAAAACAACATCTTCTAATAAAAATTTTGAGATAGGCTCTAATTTGATTATTTAGAGCCTTGGCTCTTTATAAACTATTTCCTCACAAAAATTCACCTAGATATTATCTCGAATACAACGGGAGAAGGAATGGGTAATGCCTTTAGTCACACTTGAAGGGAGTCGATGTCATTATCATCTTCTCAAAAAGTCATAAAAATCAATATAAAATATAATAATAATAAAATATGGAGGAGTTGAGATGGAAACGAGAAAACCGGGGGCGACGAGCCACGTACATAAAATTCGGGACGAAACGAAAGGAACGAAAACAAGGCGCCATTAATTGGAGAATATGGGATCTGGAGTCCTCCACGTGGGTGTGGGGACCGCCACGTGTTCACGTCAGAATTGCTCCCACGTAGGTGGGGAGGAGCAACCCCCCGGACGACAAAAGCTTCCTGGGTTTGTGGAGGACGTCGTGGGTCCCCTTTTTTCTTTTTTTATTTTCCCTCTCTTATTATTATAATCAAATAAAAAATCTGTCAATTGTGGCCACGCAGTAACAGTACCATACAGTGTTGGAAAGATCACTCGGGCCGAGTACTTGGCCCATGCCCAAGCCATCCGGCCGAGTTCGAGTAACTTGCTTTAGGCGGGGTTTTGCTGAAGCCAAAAGTATTAAAAATAAAGAATTAATTTTTTTTTTTTAAAAAAGCTAAATAAAACACATTTAAATGAGGTTAAAAAAAGTTAGTGAAAAATAAAATTTCAGAAAATCAATTTGTGACGGGGGTATTTTAGAAATAATATTAAAA